CTTGAAGGCACGGGTGTGTAATGCATATAGAAGGAAAATCTCATATTGTTAAATCAGCTTTCCAGTGATGAGTTAGGTCAATAAACCTTGATATGCTGAGTGTTTAGTCCATTGCATAAGGTCATAGATGTGATTGTTTAAGATTTCATTTCACCAAACTCTCAATGCTGGATTTGACATACAATCAGAAATTTTATAAGGAAGTTGTTATTTGCTTGTTATGATAGATTTTTATTCTTTTCTCTGTAAATATTCTCCTTTCGATGTCTTTTGACATCTACTGGATAAAAGATTGAGTCTTTTTTAACAGAGTCAACCAGAACCTTGCGTTATCTTTCACGGACTTGCCTCTAGTCCTGCTGTGAGAAAGAGCATATGGGACCGCCCTGTGAACCACGGAACAATCTTTTAAAGCAAGACCTAGTAAACAACATGCCAACAAAGGGTATAGAAATTCCTTTTTCTTCTGTAGAAAGAGCCATGAGACTAAACTATTTCAAATGAATCAATGTGAAACATTAAAGAGCCAGAACAGAAACAAAAATTTAAATCTTGACAGGATACACTAATATAGGATACAGGGCACTAGTTGGTAGGCTAAAGATTATACCTACACATTTACTTCCATGCATACACAAATACATATACTAACGCATAGATACCTCAGATAAATGCACATATAGAGAGAGAGGGAAAAGGAATCACCGCAAGCAGCCAGCTGGAGTTTCTTCGAGGAATAAGAGGACGGGGTGGAGGCAGGAGCCGCCAAGCCTTGGTCCCGTTTCTTTTTGGAAGCCGCGGAGGAAGCCAAAGCGTGTAGCTTCCTAGCAGCCGCGGCTTGCTCGGGGGTTTCGTACTTTTTGGGTCTTCCTCTCTTTCTCTTCGTGTTCTCTGCAGGCGAGGAGACCGCAGAAGGGACGGTGGTGTGAGTGTACACGTCGCTGTTATTGGTTGTACTGTTAGGTACAACTCCATTAGTCGGTAATGGAATTGTGGCGGATGCGGCAGTCGACGGTGGTGGAGTCGTAGTTTGGAGGTTAAGCTGAGGGTGGTTGTAGTAAGAGCTCAGTCCACTGCTGTCATTATTGGCTTCCATGGGACGGAGAGAGCAGAGGCGTTGGAATTGGGATTTTTTCTTCCTGTTTTTCAACTTTTTTCAGTAGATTTTTTCTGCAAAGATCTCAGACTGTCTCTTTTTCATCGTTTCGGGGAAAAATAGCAATAGAGGTCCCAAAATTTTCATGTAAACTACATTTTCATCTTTAATTTTCAATGTTATGTCATCCTCAATACCTCAACCTCTTATTTCATGTTTCCCGTTAGGC